TTAGTATTTTATACCAGAGAAATCTCTGAGCAGAGGAAAACTTCAATCCGATTTAGGAACTGGAAAGAGTATGGATGGCTACAAGAGAATCTGGAGGTGTTCAAAGAGAAGGATAGAGAGGGACCTTTAACCCAGACAATCGAAGATCTTTTAAAAACCATGTAAATATTTTTAAAACAAATCCTAAAACCAGTAAGAAATTATTTGAAGCAGAGAAGCTATATGAATAGATAGGCATGATAGACAGATTATTCTTGCTCATATGGGTAAAAGCAAGATATGGATGAACAAGAATCCTTGATAAAAAGTGATAGCCATAGAAAAAGGAACCAATGACTACCTTTCAGACACCCTGTAGATGTAGATTAACCCACTTATGTAACAGATTGGATTCAGTAGACAGTGATGACATTTGAGTGTCTTGCTTGGGGAACTGGAACGTTGTTGGCGTCATTTCTCAGTATGACGAATCTGAGATTTGGAGAATGAGGATTAACGTAAAATCAGTTTGGTATTTATTAACTTTGAATTGTCAAATAGTAGTTAGATATGTGGGTACGTATGGAGATAAAAATCCATAGTCTGGAAACACATATTACAATGTCGTCACCTTTTCCAGGTGAATGATATTTGAAGCCGGGGTAAGGTAAAACCACGCAAAGAGTTAATGCCTGAGCTCTAGAAAAGTTGATGTCTGCGATACTCACAGATGCTTCCCCTGGGACTTTGAAGGGTGACTGGCGCAGCATAGGTGTTCAAGGGGTGCTTCTTAAGTTACTGACGTGCAGAGGGTTTTTCAGAACTGTGTCCTAAGAAACTGTAATATCCCACAGAAAGAGAAAACCGCACCAGCACCCCCTCCTCCGATGAGACTAAGATGTAGAGTTCTTGGAAAAACACAATACTTTAGTATCTTGGAAGTTAAGAGAGAGTCATGTTTCAAGAAGGAAAGGTATAAATCGCATTTGACACTTCAGATGCTGCTGAGAGATCAATGGAACTTAATCGAAAGAGATATGAAGTGTCCTTACTACATCCAGCTTTACTGAAGTGGTTGGGAGAGAAATTAAAGAGGAATGAATGGGCTCAGGATTGTATGGGAAGTTAGGAGGTTTAGACTCCGTGTTTATTTAATGCTTTCAAGAAGCTTTTCTATGAAGGTGAGCAGAGGAGGAGGGGAAAAAAAAAGTCAGTGTTATAAGGACTTTTATGATGAAAAAGGTTAGAGCATGTCTCACTGCTGAAGAAATAGATAAAACAGCCAAGGGGAAGTCAGACATACAGAAGTAAAGACAAAGATTTCTGAGAAGGCAGGAGACAGAATCTATCCATTCTAAACTGTGCAGCTGATACAGAGCCAGAGCAGCTTACTGGAAAAGGGAAAAAATATAAAGTATTTATTGTAGCTATAAAAATGCTACAGACTAATGTCAAGTTGACCATACCGAATCCACTGACTACTGAGGCCTCATGGAAAGCCACATCAAAGACATGCCCTTATACTCCAAGAATTGTTTGATTTAGCTTTAGAAGGTTTCTTGGAGTAAGCTTAAAGGCTGTGGTGAATGATGGTGAATTTGGGAGCCTTTAAACCCACAATATTCTATGGAGATAAAGTTATGAATTGGCAAAATAAGAAAAAAATGATCTTTGTATGGTTTCATCATAATTACTCTTATAGTTATATAGTTTCTTATTCCATTTTTAAATAAATATGACCAGTTCAAACTTACATGTAAAATAAGTTACCTACAATAAATGAGCAGATATTGTCTTTTTATTGAATTTGAGAAGATACAGATTTTAAAAGTTATTTTAGTGTGGTTTTTTTGTTTGTTGTTTTGTTTTGTTTTCTTTTCTTTTGTCTGTATACCATGCATTATAGACTGTCCAAGTAAATTTTATAGACTTTTGAATTTAAAAACTCATTAGTTGTGTGCATTCAGAACATTTAACTTTTTGTAAGCAATAGGGATAAATCTAGAGTACA